TCCCCAAGGCAGACTTTGTCCTCTGGAAAGGAGTATTACCCCTGGCCACAGAAGAACACCAAGATGCAGGAGATGGTGATAGTAGTGATGACGAACAGGAGGAACTTAGCAAAGCTTCAGTTACTCCAGCAGCACAGGAGGTTGCTACTATTATAGAATGCCTAGGGACCCTCAGTTTCCTCTAAAACCTTGCTTCAAAATTTCAGCCTTGGAAAGGATGTGATTGGTGCAGGCTGTCACAGCTCCCAGATGCAGGGAAGAGGCACTGTCTCCATCTTTGCTGGACGTGGCTTTGGTGGGAACACGGGGGGGCCGGGGGGGAGAAGGCAGTACTCCCACACTGCATTTCTCTCAACAGCAACTGTCACCGGCTACTATCCCCCAACCCCTTCCTTCAGAGTGCATTAAACAGGCAACTGGCCAGGTTTGGCATCATTTCAAAGTTCATGCTGGGTTAAGAGTACTGCCATTTGTCATAAGGTCAGTCTGGGCCATGACCGCAAAACACTGGGGACATCAGGTGTTCTGAAACATATGGAACACAGTCACGGGGCTACCCTGCAGCAGCTCGGGAGAAAGGCAACCAGGCACTGGCTCTACTACAGAGCAGAGGCTGACACCACTAGTGCTTTCCATTATATTGTCAGCTAGGTCCACCAGCATCACTCAGAGCACAACGGAGTGTGTTTAGAACGGGGCCAAAATACGATCTCAAGCATCCTAGAATTGTGTTGCTGACCACAGCATGTGGGGGGAGGGTGGCTGTGGCCATGTTTCCTTTCACCTTTGTGGAGGGTGAGCTTCTCAGAGGTCTTATGGCTGCAGCTGCCCCCCAGCTGCCACACAACTAATGGCTCCTATTTTGCTAACAAGGAGCGCCAGATGTGTGTGCTGCTGTAATGTTGTAAAAGAAAACATTTCAATCTTTCCAAAACAAAATATTTCAGCTTATTTTATTCCACAAAAAATATTGAGGTTGATTTTTCATCCCAAATTGGGACAAAACAAGATTTTGAAATCAGGATGGAAATAGTTGCTAGAGCAAACAAATCCCTGACCATTTATCTCTAGAGGATATTTATACACACAATCACACCCTCTGTACTGTTATGTCACCACTCCGATCACAAGGTACCAAAATGTAATAAAAATACCACTCTCTAGTACAGGTTTAGGTTATCATACCCCCATACTTTTTGTTGTAATAGTCACTATGGCACACAATTCTTACTTCAAAGTCATGTCTCACTTTTTAATTCAAAACCCTAGTGACCCCAAATAAGTGCGAGTGTTACATGATCCAGAAATTACATCCTCTTGGCGTTTGAAATTGATGGTCATTTTTCTGTGTAAAGATTCAGAGTTAGTGTTTGTGTTGTCTGCAATTGTGTGTGCTCTTTTTCTTGTGCTCTCTCTCGGCTATTTTGTTCCAAATTTTTTACTTTACTAAAGACAGTTTATCAATAAAAAAGAAAATGTGTGATAGAATCTGAGTATGAGGAAGCAGCATCTTAAAAGACAAAAAGAACCAATAATCTGCATCTTGTAACAGTATCACCACAAAAACAGATAAATTATACTCATGCTAATCATAATGCCTTGCACTTGCCTACTTAACACACTGTACTTTAAACATAATCCATACCTCAAGTCTGTAACCAGAGTTTAATGCCATATTTTTGTACCTTGGGAAAAAAGTAACAGGTGTATAAAATATTCAATAGCTTTTCTTGTGGTCATTAATGTCCTGATTGTAAAAATACCCTGTCTATGTGCCAAAGAATTTCCAGTGTCATTCACTTCCTACCACAAATTTGTGGTTCATGTACCCTGAGGAGCTGAGAGGAAGGGTTTTGACACTCTATCCATCTTCAGGATAATTAGATCCCTTAGGGACAAAGGACAAATTGAGTAATAACAAAACACAAGCATCAATCTTCTAAAGAAAAACAACTGTATGTATTGACCCCTGTTGGAAACCTGTAAAATAGGCAACAAGATCACTGAACAGCTAGCCAAAGAGCAAGCCATACTGGTGATGCTTGGGGATTTAAAAAAACAAAACAAAACCCAGCTCTCGTAGGGCACTGCTGTGAGAAATTATGCTTTACTTATGCAGCTCTACAGTAAGTCTGTCAGCCTACAGCACAATGTATTATCTTTAACTTATTTCTTTAATAAGTAAAGAGAACAGAGGAAGGATTTTCACAGCTGGCAGTATATTAGCACTGCATCAGTTTTCGTTAAGGGAATACAATTTTTAAGGTTGTTTTAAGTCTTGTTTAATTTTCTTAGTTTTTTAAATGGGGTGTTTTCCCCAGGGAGGATGGGAGAAAAAGGTTGGATGGGAGATCAGAAACTGTTGCCAGCCCACATTTAGTTATGTATCAGACACCAGAAGGGGTCTCACCATAAAATTCACACAGCTCACTGATTGCAGGTCTCAGGAACCTTCTTTGCTAAACTGAAGCCTTTCAGATATTTTAAGTAAAATGCATTTACAGGGTATTTCACAGGTTGAATGTCTCCCCACTAGTCACATTTCTCATAGACACCTATTATTACACCAAAATGAAGGTGAGGATCCTTCTATATTAAGGATTTATGAAGATACCTAATTTATAGCTAATGGTACAATATTCTGGCTATATTTCTCTAACTAAATTTCTCTTTGTGCTTTGGTTCTCTAAGAAAAAAGTCAATCAGTTAACAATGTATTTCTTAAAGTGACAGTACATTCTTCCAAGTGTAAATAGCTTTTTTCGAAAAAAGCTATCTGAACTACTTTGGCAGCAATCAAAGAATAGTCATAGATCTCTGACTGCAGCATTCACAACACCTGAAGAACAAAGGAAGTGACATTGGACTGGAGGAGGGGATCCTGACTGAATGTAGTTCAGCCAGAAAGATTGCTGTAACATGTGGTGAGAGAGACCTGGGCTTTGAATTCACTTTAGTTTGCTAAATTAGGCATTAGCTGCTTTTTAGTTTAATTTTTCTTGTAACCAATTCTGACTTTTAATGCCTAGTTACTTATATTCACTTTAAATCTGTCCTTCTGTAGTTGAATAAACTTATTTTATCTAAACCAGTGTTTAAGTGAAGTGTTTGGGAAACTCTTTTAGAAAATATACACAAATCCTGTTACCTCAAACGACGGACTTTATATGAGCTTGTATTGCCTAGGAGACAGCTGGGCAGTACAAGATGTACATTTCTGGGGAAACTCTCGAACGGGGAGTTTGCTGGTGTCACTCTACATGTAATCCAAGAGTGTTTGGCTGCAGCACTCATACATTGTAACTAAGAGTAATTTACATGCTGGAGGCTGTGCATGAACAGACCAGGACTGGTTGCTTTCGCAATGAAGCAGTGTAAAAGGTACCCTAGATTAGACATCTGGAGGTGACACAGATGTTCATCAATCCAGATTGTACTCTGGGTATGTCATAATATCCTTCCCCATGTAGTCTGTGTTCACTGGTCCCCAGGATCCCGAGGTGCCCTCTTCTGGCACAAGCTTATGTATTAATGCAACAATAAGGCACAACAATGCTACAGTAAGAAAGGAAAGCTAAGAACGGGCAAAAAGAGTATTAAATAAGCATTGGAGAAAAGGGTATTTTCATTGGTAACAGAACTGTATCACTGTACTGCCAATCCATAGAGAAGGTCTGCATCAAGGATGTATGTTTGCATTTACTATTTTAGAGTAATAAAAAGGTCTGCTGCACAAAATCAAACCTAAATAAGAACTAAGCATAAAGCTTCAAGGACTTGGTCTATTTGCAAAACCCATCAGTCAAAGATACTATTTCAGGTACACCTGGCTGAGAACTGATGGCCAAACATTTCATAATACTTTGACATCTCCTTTCCAAAATCATTGCTCTCAGCTATGCCATTTTCTCCTTTGCACAATATCTAGATGAACCTAATCACTGGATTTTTTTTAAAAAAAGTTTGAACATGCCCAGGAATAAAGAGAGGGAAAATAGTGCTGGTTTTATTCCCTTAAGTGGATAATCATGAGGGCGTCTTTCTATTTATGGTTGAAAATTTCCCAGGAAAAACTACTTTAGGACCGGGTGCTGGTAAATACACTGTCTTGACCTTGGTTTAAACTGGGCAAAATAATTGCTTCAGGGTCTAGCAAGTTCAGCACGCACAGAACAAATCTTTTCAAACTTTGGATATATCCATTCAAAAAAACTTAGGAGAAGGCTTGGTCTAGCCACTACATCAAAGTTGGTCCTCTCTACAGAATGCTGCGTGACCAAAGAGACCTGAACTGGTCATCTGTAACCCTGCATGTTTCTGATCGCAGAATGCTTCAGGCTTACAACTCTGCATTATTGTTGTTTTCATATAATCAGATGTTTTTGACTGTTTAATATTGAAAAATGAATTATAAGACATGACATGTATAACTTTGTTGAGAAAATACTGAACCAAAACGTATAAAGACATTCTGATGTTCAGCATTATAATTACATATATTAGTATTATACTCACTGCAATTTCACTTTGTATTTGTACAACCCTGAATTAATCTGCAAATCTACTGTCTTATGTAACCACAGTTTGAGTATGTACCTAAATTAAGTGTAATGTGGTATGCATTAACAAAACAGTTTTTAAAATAGAAAATGCCTTAAACTGGGACTAACTAGTTTTTCTTGGGGCGGTGAAAACCATGATTTTACCTGGTAAAAACCATCTCTGGTAAATACAATGCCATCCCTGTTTCTCTTAAAGGGTGTAGATTGGGCAAAACAGAATAGTAACTACCACTAACCAGGAGTGACAAGAAGTGCTGAAGAAAATAGTGTGTTTTTGACACAGTAATTGTTAAAACAATAATAGAAGTCAGTAGGGAGACCTCATTCTTATGAGGTGAGAGCAACATACACAGTGGCTGGCTGGAAAGAACAGAGCATGCATGTCCATACATGACATCCTCCTAAATGATGATGAAATTACCTGAAATGATCCCTTACCTTGGAGAGCCTGTAGAGTACGAGTCTGTACAACAATACAGAGCTGCAGAACCAACTGTGGTGCACTTTCCAGAAACGTGGCTAGCAAGTGCAGCATACTCACATCTGCATACTCATATACCATTTTCCAATAAAACCGCCATCTGTCGTTCTCTCCACTTTGTCGACTGCGGATACCTAAGTATATCGTGTGGAAATACCTAGAAATAAAAGAGAGATTAAGAAGACACTGCAGAATATTTTACAAGCACCATTTTTACTCTAAACTAACCCACCTTGTCCCAACATGCTTCAGGATAATGGATGGAAGGGACTATATTCAGAAGGGACACAATATTCTAGTCCATAGTATTTTGTTCAGTGGAAAACAAAACAAAACATTTTCTTAAAAAAGCCATTTTTGAAAGCTTAGCACTTTGGTCTAATTTGTTAAATGCATTCTATTACTTTCAAAGATAAGGTATTTTAGAAACATAGAAAAGCTGAGCTCATCTATGGCCTTCTGCAAAACCCACTGAAGGAAATGAAAAGATCTACTAACTTCAGTCCAAATGTCCTAAACCTGCAACAGGCTCTGCTTGGGCAGACACTTATGCTCACATAGACCCATACTGACTTCAGTGGGACTCTTTGTGAGCAGAGGAGTCCAGCATACATGGAGCTAATTGTAGGATCAGGGCCTTAAAGAGTTGCTGTGCTTATTAGCCCTGTTCTCCAGAGTGAGAGGCAGGATGAATAAAATACTAACCTTGGCCAGCTTAAAATATTTTTATGGTAGTCTGGATATGTTTTGAAGGGGGGACAGCTACAAATTCCCTAGCCCATATTCAGATGGTTTCTATATAACAGCTGCAGAGGGTGGGACCAGAATCAGCACCTGTGTGAAGACAACAGGCTGCTGCTACAGACAGCAGTAACCTGAAGATGAGCAGAGGTGGATGGAAAACACATGGGCCGACCAAGGCATCCAATAGGCTGAGGGAGCAAGAGGAAAAGCACCTGGCTACCAGCCAAATAAATGGAAAGCTGCAGGTGTAGGAGCAATTGGTTTTGTTGGAGGCAAAGGGATGGTTGCTGATGGACAGTGAAGCTACCCAGTCACAGAGAAACCTTCCATGTTCTTTACATAGACTACAGCAGCTGCTGGGACACCTGTGCTCTCTTCTGGGTGGCCTTTGATCTGCTGTCAGGAAGGAAACCCTGAGTCTTTTCTACCAGCCACCTCTCTTACCTGAAGGAGAGGATGTTTCATTCGAACAGAGGGCTGGAGGCAGATGCCAGGATGAGAACAGAAATCAGTTGGCAGCTGCTGCAGTATGTGCTGGGGGGTGGGGCAATGTGACACAGGAAGGAGTTCAGTGGCCAAGTGGTTTCTCTGTCAGCAGGGTCTTGCCCAGCTGCCCTGGTCTATCTCCTCCCTCTTGCCCAGGTTGCTCCTGCTCCATAATCATTCCATTTATTAGGACAGGAAAGCTTTATCTCTTGCTGACTGAGCAACACCTGAGAGCGGGCACAAGTGGTGTTCTCCTTACTCCAACCCCAATTTTACTCAGGTAGTTTTTGCTACTATGAAGCATCCGCATCTTGTCATCTTTATACAGGTGCTGCTGTCCTAATTTCTGCTGCTGCTGGTCCTGCCCCAGATGGATCAAACTACCCAAGCAGAAGGAGAGGTTGGGGGAGGGGAGGAAAGAGAAGGGAAACAAAAGGGAAGAAAAAGGTAAAATTAATCAGTGATCCCAGAGCAGTTAAGTTACTTTATTGTTAATTTATTTTCAAACTGACCTAAATTAGCCATTTACTCACTATGACCCTCTTTGTTTCCAAATTGGAGAGTCAGTTAAACAGTGAGTCTAGTAACACTTCAAATGTTACTGCCTGAATAGAACTTTCTGACATGGATAACAGGGGTGCATCTGGTTACCCACAAAATTCATGCGTCCCACTGAAGGAGGAGGTATCTGACTAGATGAGAGGACTTTATACCATTCCCTTGTAATTGTTATGAATCACAATATCCAACCAGCCAATCATGCTCTTGTAATTAATAACTATTAAATATTAAGTAACCATTTTAATTTGATGAGATAAAACAAACACTGCAACACCCATCCCGTTTTCCACTCCCCACCCCGAAAGCCCCAACAACAAAACTGAATTAGCACAGCAAAACAGGGTCTTGATTTACAGGCAACATCCAGCCTCACTTCGCTCTTGGGCTTTAACTTCAGCTGTATCTGACAGGATTTATGAACTCTGTGACATAGAATATTCCAGACACAGTCACCACGGTGTCAGTTCACATAGAAAAATCACTGCTGTCACTCTCCCCAATGGCAGGGCTGTGCAGTGAGTGGAGCTCCAGCCTGCCCTCAGTCAGTGCACACCAAACAAAAACCGGGGTGTAGTCTAGAGAAATGTTGGTGTGAGCAGGGATGAGTCTGCAGTACTGGGTGCTCCTCAATGCACACCACAGGGGTGTGTGAGGAAAGCGTAACTTAACATTGAAGCTTTGGACTCTGCCCACGTTGAGTGTTGTAGTGGAGGTGGGACAAAGCAGCAATTAGCCAGCCAGGGATGGTGTAAAGTGGCAATAAATTACATGGTGATTGACCGGCAAAGAACACAATCCAGGAAGGACCAATGAGGCAACAGAAGGCATTGGCAACATCACAGTGATGATCAAGACAGCAACCTTTCTGACATCCCAAGTGACTTAGAGAAGGCAACAAAACAACAAGGACTAAGGTGGGTAGAAAGTTGGCTAGATTGTGGGGCTCAATGGGTAGTGATCAATGGCTCCATGTCTAGTTGGCAGCCAGTATCAAGTGGAGTGCCCTAAGGGTCGGTCCTGGGGCCGGTTTTGTTCAATATTTTCATAAATGATCTGGAGGATGGTGTGGATTGCACTCTCAGCAAATTTGCGGATGATACTAAACTAGGAGGAGTGGTAGATACGCTGGAGGGCAGGCATAGGATACAGAGGGACCTAGACAAATTGGAGGACTGGGCCAAAAGAAATCTGATGAGGTTCATCAAGGATAAGTGCAGGGTCCTGCACTTAGGATGGAAGAACCCAATGCACAGCTACAGACTAGGGACCAAATGGCTAGGCAGCAGTTCTGCGGAAAAGGACCTAGGGGTGACAGTGGACGAGAAGCTGGATATGAGTCAACAGTGTGCCGTTGTTGCCAAGAAGGCCAATGGCATTTTGGGATGTATAAGTAGGGACATAGCCAGCAGATCGAGGGTCGTGATCGTTCCCCTCTATTCGACATTGGTGAGGCCTCATCTGGAGTACTGTGTCCAGTTTTGGGCCCCACACTACAAGAAGGATGTGGAGAAATTGGAGAGAGTGCAGCGAAGGGCTACAAAAATGATTAGGGGTCTGGAACACATGACTTATGAGGAGAGGCTGAGGGAACTGGGATTGTTTAGTCTGCAGAAGAGAAGAATGAGGGGGGATTTGATAGCTGCTTTCAACTACCTGAGAGGTGGTTCCAAAGAAGATGGTTCTAGACTATTCTCAGTTGTAGAAGAGGACAGGACAAGGAGTAATGGTCTCAAGTTGCAGTGGGGGAGGTTTAGGTTGGATATTAGAAAAAACTTTTTCACTAGGAGGGTGGTGAAATACTGGAATGCGTTACCTAGGGAGATGGTAGAATCTCCTTCCTTAGAGTTTTTTAAGGTCAGGCTTGACAGAGCCCTGGCTGGGATTGGTCCTGCTTTGAGCAGGGGGTTGGACTAGATGACCTCCTGAGGTCCCTTCCAACTCTGATATTCTATGATTCTATGAGGGCATGAGCATGATGAGATAACTGGATGCACAATGCAGTATTATGGTAAATGTTGGACAGAGTGAGGGATGACATCAATATTAAGGCTCAGAAAAACAAGCAGTAAATGGCGTGATTCCTATATCCATAAGCAAATTGTTCAGTTCTGTTAACACAGCCAGTCCACTGGCTGACAAGACACTCAGTCACAGCAGACACAAGGGCTCCTGGACCAGACTCCAGAACCCTGCAGCACAACACAGTCAACTGTGTCTCTTGTACACCATATACTAAAAAAGTATAGCCACTGGTTTCTTCTGCTGTCCTCACCTCCCTCCAAGGAGCATATGTAGATGTATTGCACACCTTTGCAAACATCATCTCCAGCATTCCTGTAGTAACATCACTCACTCACTTTTGGAATCGCTAACAGGAGCCATCAGCAGCCTTCCTTTTACAGTAATGGTGTGCTCCTAGTGGCAATACCACTTGCTGTTCTACATTTGCCTTATGACCAGTGATTTATGAGCACTTAACGACATAATTCCTCTCCCTTTGCCCTTTATGGGCAGTGAGGTAGGTGATTGGGTAGCCATCCCCCAACCCTCCCATATTTAAACAAGAAGCAGAAACAGAAAATCTGTGAAAGATCACTATTCTTTTCCTACAGATTAGAGGCCAAGTTTTTAAATGAGGCCCCAACTTGGACTGTCTTTTTGCACCGGTATCACCATTGGCCAAACTAATTACAGGCAGAAATAAGCGTTTACACACATAACTACTATTCCTGATTTAGGGGTACAATAAGGTAGTAGACATCTAAAAATTATCCTTTGCATTCACAATTATATCAGCAATTGATGTAATAGTCCTGGATGTGGCTTCACACTAGCAATAACTGGAACACCACCCTTTTATTACTTGTGCAGCAGTAGCACCTAGAACAGAGGTGGGCAAACTATGGTCCGTGGGCCACATCTGGCCCGTGGGACCGTCCTGCCCAGCCCGTGAGCTCCCGGGGAGGCTAGCCCCCGACCTCTCCCCTGCTGTCCTCCCTCCCCTGCAGCTGCAGCGCACCGTGCCGCCAGCACTCTGGCCTGCTGTTCCTGCTGCTCTGAGCAGCATGGTAAGTGGGCAGGGCGGGGCAGGGGTTGGATAAGGGGCAGGGGGTCCTGGGAATCAGTCAGGGGACAGGGATCAGGGGGCGGTTGGATGGGGAGGAGGTTCTCCAGGGGGCAGTCAGGGGATGGGGAACAGAGGGCATTGGATAGGCATGGGAATTCTGGAGGGGGGCTGTCAGAGGGTGGGGGTGTGGATAGGGGTTGGGGCAGTCAGGGGACAGGGAGCAGGTGAGGTTGGATGGGGGTGTGGTCCCAGGGGACAGTTAGGGGTGGGGGTATGGATAGGGGTCAGGGCAGTCAGGG